CCCCAGCATCTGACAATGGACTTGATACATTCTCAAAAGTTTCGCCGGCATCGTAATCGACATCATCAGTGAGCTTTGCCATTATCCGCACCAAGCTACGAACTCGTCAAAGAGACAAGTCCAACAACAAGACCAAGTTGCGACAATGAGGTCAACCCACTTCTATAAATCGAAAGGAGACTGTGACTATAAAAGAGGCCACAAAATCTTGGCCTTCATATATTCAATTAGAATGCTATATTCATAAAGTCACTCATCTTGGCACGCTGGAATCAATAAGATAATCTATGGCTGGTTTTAATCAGTATCATGAAATACTAACAGTTCCTCATAAGAAATTCTCTTAAAGTCCTGTACTATTCACATCTTCCTACTTTAGGTTAAAATAATCTTTTGTGGACAGAATAGAAGAGAATATAATCTCGCCAAGCGATATCAGTGAAACCAACTAAATTCCTTAACCCCAAATTTGGATACGGATCCCGAGACAATTTACCAAATCCTGTCGAGCTTATAAAAGAGAGGTACTGCAAAACTAGCCTCTACGAATTTCTCCATAGTCTAGTTTGTTCCATATTTTCAATATCAACTTTTGTATTAGCAGCGACCATCAGAGACAAATGAAATGCATTCATCACTTAATTTATGAGCTCTATAGATTCGATGGAGCTAGAATTTTTACCTGATTCGGCGGATCATAGGTGGAAAATAAGATTCGAAGCAGATGTGAAAAACAATGTAGTGTAGCCTACATTGTGATCGCAGTCTTATTCCACTCACTGTGCAGAAATGGTTTGACCTCGTGTTCGCTACTTGGACATCCAATTAGGGCGACCCAGCTGAACGCGCCACGTTTGAACCCCTCTGCCAGAGTAGTCGTGATAATTTCCAGTTTCAGACCACGGGCTCGATGCATATCATGGTCCGACGCTGGAACTTACCAGCTTATCACGCTTTATGATATGGCACGTTCATCTCAAGTCATCCTGACAGCCCGAACAAGTTGTAAAAATGTGGTCATACTACTTCAATAAAATTCGCATATTTTGATTATTGAAAGTAGGCCGGAGGTGATTAATTACGAAGTTTAATGAGGTAGCTTCAGAAGCACTTCCACTTTGTCTGCAAACCTACCTTACAGACGAATATGCTCTTTATTTCAATTGGGCTAGGTCCACTAGGATACATTGTATAATTGATTATAAATAGAAAATAGGGCAAGATATTCATCAGATAGCTCCAGTGGTACATTCTAGTATCTTATAAGTATAAACTTGTATGCCAAGAGTTTTGATACAAAACCTACTTTTTAATATGTGCTTATAACATGAATAAAGGTACTAGAGAAGTTGAGTTGTATGGTTGCCTCGAAAAATAAACATATTCTCCCAATTCTGGTAGCTATTATAATTAAAAATACTGCCAATTTTCAAGGGGCAAAAGATATATTTCTGAAAAAATTAAAATATTTGCTGGAAGAGGTTTGAAAGAAAAAGAATACGATAAAGAGAACTTATACTCGAAAGCTGCCAAGCTGAGTATTACTATCAAAAATACGAAACGAGCCTCAGATAATCAGCTCTCGAATAGTCATGTGAGGTTTTGGGAGAAGAGGAAAGAGGATGATTGCAATAGGATGGTGAGACCTTTGCTAGTCTTGACTAGATGGAGTGAGCCGTACAGTAGGAGAGAAAAGAAGACAAAAGTTGAAAAACAAGAGAACGGCCAAGGGGAAATCTTTGCATGTAAAGAAGGCTTAATATTCTCGGAGAAAGAGTGGATCAAGTATCAAATGATATTTTTGTTAAATCTTGTCCAGCAGGAAGCGCATAAAGATGCTTGCTATTTCCCCTCTTCTCAAATTAATACAATGTCCATCATAAATAAAAACCAATTTTTCTTAATCTCTGAACTCTCGTCCCAAAGAAGGGTTCATTTGAACCGGATATTTTAATCTTAATTCAGCAGCGGCTTCTGGTCCATCTGACCTCTGGTCTGTTTGTCAATTGGCCATAAAGCCTTTGCCAAAAGTGGATATCAAAGAGAGCTCTGATACTATTTTGAAGAGTTGTTCTGGCTGAAGAGGCTCGAGGCTTCGCCAGAATCTGCAGTGTTAGTGGGAGTCTCAGTAGTTTGTCGTGTGTCCGCCACGGCAGCCAGAAAGGCCTCGACTATCTGGTTGTCCACAGACGGTCGTTCTTTTAACTTGCTCAGTGGTTTTGGGTCAAGGTCGACCACAGTAGCCTGGAGCGCAACTCGGGGCAAGCATGAACAGTCGCCCGCCAAAATGGGTAACCAGGGCGGACAACTAAGCATGAATGAAGAGGGAAAGACGAGAGAAAATAGTAAGAATAGACAAAGCTGATTTATTTAGTGAATTGATAAGTCATAGGAGACTGAATGATTTCTTAAAGAGGTGAGAATATCAAAATGTAAATCGACCGTCCTGTTTACCATATTGCGGTAGAAGGTGCCTTGAATGGAAGATTCACTTCCTCTTAACATTTTGGCAGTGAGGGTCTGACTCACTCCGAGCTTCGTCAATCTGAATGGCTAAAGTGCTCTATTTCCATCGATTTAGATGTTAACGATTAGGGGCCAAGTGCACGAAGAAAATGAAATG